ATTTGGCAGATGACGTAATCACTGCCAAATAACTCGAGTTATTTGGCAAGCACTATCATAGTAAGCTGCCGGATAACCTTTTTTATAAGAAAATATGAGGAATAATAGATACGTATAAGTGCTGTCAAGAGAAAATATGACTTCGGACTATCATTTATAATTATATATATTATACAATTAATCTTTAATAATTGATATCATTAAAAATTAAAGTTGTATTGCTTTAAGCTATAATTTGAACTAGTTAAAGCCATGTCTTAACTAGCTTAAGCCATGATAGTTTAATTTATCTGGCTTTACTATGTCTTGGCTATAATTTCCCCGCATTAATAGCCATAGCTTAAATTATAGCTGCTGAAATGATGGCTTAAGCTTTGGCTATCATTTCATGAGCCAAGCCAAGACAATCAAGCCGATTACATCATTATTTTTAATATATGAATAACTCCAAGAAAAGCCAACCTTCAGGCTTTAAGCTTATATTACTGGACTCAATCCTCGAAAACATGTATAATTGAGTTATTAAATTATAAATTCACAAGTTAAAACCTATTTTCTTTTGGCATTACTTATTACATATTAATATTTAAAAGTTTGACTTTTTTTAAACATATAATAAAGCACAAATAACAAATTTCGAAAATAAGTGGGTACAGAATGACCTATTTCTGGTTTGAAATTTTGAAATCAAAAAAAGAAATAGGAGATAAAATGTAGCTTTTTTTTTTTTATATTTTGTTGTTATCATATGATATTATCGTAATAAATTAATAAAGAATTACAAATTATCGTTTAAAATGTTTAAAATTTTTTTAAAATTATTAATATTCCATATTTATTTTCGAATTATTAATAATTAATATGTCTCCCGCAAAAAACTTTTAAAAACCCACCAAAAAGAATTTAATAGTTTTTTAACGAATAGTAGGATATCGATTGTATCCAACAGTTCATCGATTTCTTTTCGTGAATATTAGCTATATTTTTATGAGTACCATTAGGATATTCTTTTATAATATTATGTTTAATATGTAATTGTTGATCAGAAATATAAGGTATATACTGTATTTTAAAATATAGTACAGTCAGACCCCCTAAATGCAACCCCCTAAATACACGTCCTATGAAAAACCTCCCTAAATTCACGTCTTCTCTTGGGCCCAATTAATACTACGCCTATAGTTTTTTACCTCCCTAAATGTAATGCCTCTCTAAGTGCATGTTTGGCTAAATTTTTATATATGGTCCGGTCTGACTGTATATATGAAAAGATATCAAGTCTTGAAAAAAGATTCACGATCGTAAAAGTTATTATATAAATAAGTTTACAAATCAAAATAAATAAGATTTATGAACCACGGATTTTGAAATACATAATTAACTTAATTCGAAATCTGTAACTTGAACCTTAATTCTGAATCACCCCATTTTAGGGGGGTTTAAAATTAACAAATATTAAAATGTGGCACATTTAGAAATTAATTAAAAAATTTTATTTGTTTTTCAATATTTTAAAATCGGAAAATAAAATGGGAGTGTTTGGAGATCCCATTTCATGAAACCGGAAATTTTTATAATACTTCGTAAAAAAAAAATAAATAAATAAAAAGTAAATTTTTCGTTCAAATTGAAGATTAGATCAGATTGCGGATCATTTATTTAAAAATAAATACATCATCAATTGAAATTAAATTAGATTTCCGCGGTTTAACTTTGTTACCTTTTATTTCATTTTTATCATTTCTTTTATACAATATGCTTAAATTTTCGTAATATGTAAGTGAGCTAAAATACAGTAAATATGTAAATTAAATTGCTGTAAAATAACTGATAAAAGGTTTGCTTTCCTTCCTTATTTACTAAAGCGTGGGCTGTTTCCATTAAATTGGTATTATTACCATTTTTTCACCAAATATGAACATTGTTGCAATGCCTTCTAGTGAAATAGTGAATATTTTACAAGTATGCTGGAATGAATTATTGTTAAAAGTTTACTTGATTTAATTGAAATTCTTCGACGTTGGATATGCGTATCATCCATGTTTGCAGCAATCGAATCAAAAATAGACCGTTACTATAGGGACATTATTGACAATTGCAGAATAATATAAAATCAATTATCCGATATACTAAATATTGATATGTAATCGTAAGTCTAAGTATGATGTTTATTTTTTGTTTTTTGTTTTTTTTAAATGTCCGTACGTACAGTACTACCGTACTGTACTACTTGGTATTTTTCTCTAAGTTCTTTATCATAATATTCAATCACTGGTATCACAAGCCATAAGATATATCCTTGCAAACTTAAGAAAAAAAAAAGTTTAGTATTCAGAGATAAAAGATTGATTGTAATGCTAAGAGAATTATTATCTTTAATTATTATTATCAACAGTCTAATACATTAGGTTTCATAGTCTACATTAAAAAATCGTCCGAGTCATCTGTCAATCGGTAGGAATCGAAAAATGACTTGTCAATTGCTGAATTGACATAAATTGAAAAATTACTTGTACGTAGCAAGTATAAAAATATGGTGAAAAATGGTGACATACAGAAATAAATACGTACGTACGTATGTATGACAGAAATTACGTAATTTTGGATACGGGATAATGGATTGATAAGAAATAAGAAATGGCAAAGAAAGTCAAATTTTTTAGGAAAAAAGTGATTCGATCATTAGAACCTGCAAGTCTGAGAAAGTGTGAACCTTAATTCATTGAAAAAATACAAATTCGATAGTAATGCGTAAAAAAGGTGAAGTCCTAACAATTATATATATTAACTAATATAGAATTCGATATTATTTTTAGTTATCCTTAACTTAAATATTCTTTTCAATGAATGACTACCGGTTTTCTGTCGCCGTTTTTGTCCACTATCGGACTTAATTCGCCGATGGTGACACGATCTAATCAGTTTTTCTAAATTTATATATATTATACATTGTATATAAATTTTTACTCTATTATTCATTTTGGAATAGTTCCACTAACTACAGCCTAAAGCTAACAAACAGTTTACAACAAAATAAATATATACCACAAAATTATTGCTTTACACGATGGATTCTTTTGCACTAGAGTTCTTTTTTTTTTTTTTTTCATAAAACACATTAATAAATCATATTAATAAAGCACACATTAAACGATAATTTCAACTTTTTATTTTCAATCTTCTTATTAATAATTGTATAAAATAATGGGGAAGATATCCGTCTTAGGCAAAATCACGCTTATTTCTTTCATTTTGCAAGCAATAATAATCACCGTCTTGGAAGCCTTCGTTATTTATTTCCATGTCAATTTTGTCAGCCAATATGAGTTGGATTCAGTTGGTGAAGGAATATCTGTGGCTGACTTAATTTATCATTCAATGTAAGTAATTCATCGTTAATTCTTTTTTATTTAAAAATATATATATATATATTAATAATTTTTTTTCTTTTATTATTTCCAAGATTTATTCTTTCACTATTTTTTCAAGTACTTGTAGTAGCTGGTGCTCTCTGGCATCGTAATTCTGTTCAAGTAGTAGCCCTTGTAATATTCAACCTTCTTACATTAGCATACGCAGGAATACAACTTTATCAACACAAAATTCTTGAAGATCAAGGCACTCAGAATGCAACATATACACCGATTAATCCAATTTTCCCTAAAGATGATAGGGATGCTCCCAAAATTCATTATGAAGCTTTGATGAGACCAATCGAGCATACTATCATCGCCTTAATATCTGCTTTTTCTATATATTTAGCTGTCATGTCTTACTTGCTCACCAAAGAATTTGGTTGGGAAAACTATAGAACTTATTCCGCTGATCCTCAAGTCCGCGACAGATTTTTGAGTCTTACAATTTTACAGACTCTGATTAAAATGGACGTATTCTTTATCGGATCGTACGCAATACAACTCATACCCTCTCAAAAAATTGGTTATTCTTCTTCTATCGTGGAAATTACCCTTGTTTTTTTTTTGAGTACTCTCATGTTGTTAATATCTTGGATCTCTGTCAGTATGGAAAAGAAATATCTTTTGCTATCAGCGATCAATCTTTATTCTATATCGTTGATTTACTGGGCTTATCGACTTATAACGGTCAATCTTCCTGTATTAAATGGAGCTGGTATTATTTTTTCTTTTTTCAATCAATTTCATAAAACGTCTATACTTCCACATTTTAATTTTTTTTTATTTTTTTTTTAGATCCGTACGAATTTACTCGACGACTCCTAACATTCTTTTTAGTTGTAATTTTCGTTCTTGTATTAATTACTGTACATTATTCCATCATTTGCTTCCGAAATATGATGCGTGGATTTTATATACTTTCTGTATATGGACGGTCTGAAAATGAGAAAAAAGACAATTTAGATATCGACGATTTAGAAGCTTCTCCTTCCAAACGCATATCAAATAAAGAAAATGCGATTAGAGAACAAAAGAGACGAACACAACAAGAACATGAAAAAGCGATATTAGATTAATGTTAACTACATAATCTTAAC